GAACGACCTCATAACCTCATACAGTATTGCAATATATCAAAATCATGTAACAACAGTAAGGGTGTTACTCATGTGTAAGTAAACTTTGGTTCGGAAGAATCTTGTGCAGTAACCATGAGGATGGAAATATTTTGTTCTCAGCGCTGCAGTACACGCATGAAATGCAGCCGTTTGTTCAAGTAACATGATTGTTAGTTGCTAAATTTCGCAGAAGATATAAAGGAACAGAGTGCTAGCAGGTGCCAAGATATTGAGTTCGATGTGGTGGGGAAGGGGGAAGGGAGTGCGGTACTCCTCTTAAGAAGGGGCGAAACAAAGCAGCGCATTTCCAATATCGTTACCTTTTTCGATTTCATCTACGAGCGGTCTCACTCTTCTTGCGCGCACTAATTTTCAAATACTGAGTTCCGAAAGGAACCTCTTTTTTTGAAGAAGTCACATTCCGCAGATCATAGATTTTCGGAATCTCAGTCGCTTCGAAGATGTTTGATTGCATTGCAGATTGACCAATGAGCTCTCAGAAAATACCAAAGCAACTCATGGTTACTGTCATGGCCAATTTTTGCTATTCTTGTAATTTTTTATACCGACCCCTTGGAGAGTTTCAAATAATGGTGGATAGAGCAAGCCCTACAGGATACAAAAAGGTATGCTTTGCTTATCCGCATCTGAAATTGTCAGCAGAAAAACCACCGAAATTTGGCAGGCCAAGTTGCGTTCATAAACGAATTGAACATTGGTGCACTTTCGAAATTTGAGTCTTCAAAATTTCAGAGACGAAATCCTCACAAAAAGAGGAGTAAATGGGAATTGGACGCTAAGTTAATTGCCTGTTGATGTTCTATGTGTTTTGAGTTGAATAAATATGGAAACTGGTGGCATCAGATATCTCTTAAACACTCATGATGTGATGTGAAAAGAAGAAACATGAATTTTGCATCTGCAGGGTTTGCTCTATCGATTCTTAGTCGGACTTCTTCAAGGAGTCGGTCTAAAAATCTAGAAAAATAGCGAAATTGTAACCGACAAAACCATAGATGATAGTCTTTGATAATTTCCTGAGAGCTCATTGGTCAAACTGCAATGCAATGATGAAAAATTGTACTGAATAAGACTAAATTTTCGAAAATCTTTGATATCCGCTGGATGTGGCCCTTGTTTGAAAAAAGAGAATCACCTTCTTAACGCCCAATACATTGGCCTCATCTCAGTCAAGTTGCTGTCTAGGATTCTAAGGATGTAAACTTTTTTCAGCATGAGCTTTTTGTGAGCGCTAAGAAGCTCAGTAAATCAATCAGTAGTGTTGTATGACTCATTTGGAAAGGCCACTTCGACTGTCGGACATCCCTCTCACAAGGGATGTCCGACAGTCGAAGTGGCCTTTCCAAATGAGTCATACAACACTTCGAAGAGCATCAAAGGTGATTCCAAATCTGATGTTACTATCTGCCGAGCGCTTCTGCATGCCGAGTTATGAATATCTTCTTGGTGCGGAAAATGAACGAATAATCCAGGTAAAACCAGATTTCACGGTCTTTTCAGCGCTCAAATAGAGCAGTATTGAGTATAAGCGTTTTGGACAGAAGGTATTGTTCACGTGGAGTGCTTCGATAATTAACATTGACACATTTAAGCGATTCTGACGAATTTTGTTGTTATGCAGTCAATTTTTCAACTCAAAAAAACGCTCATAACTCGACGTCCTGAGGCGCTCGGCAGATAACGAAGACAGAGTTGGATTCAGCGTTTTATTGTCTTTATAGTCATATCATCTTTATGTGAAAAGGCCACTTCGACCAAACGGACCTCCCTCGTTAGTTCTAGAGAGGAAAGTGTTGATGTTTTAAATGTGCTGAAGGAACCACCTTGCCAAAGAACCATTCCTGCGAAGGCTTTTGAGAGCCGCAAAAATACAGTAGTGAAAGCATAAACGATTCAAATGAGCTAGGCTCTAGCTAGAAGGTTAACAATAATTATTTCGCATGTCACCGTTACCTATAACGTCAAAAATTCTCAAACAGGATATGAATTGAGGCAATTCTACGTGCTCTGTAGATCGCCAGTGAGGTATGGCCTTCTGCGATGTACAAACGTCATACTTATCGCGGACAAGTTCAATGAATTCTGTGGGTAAGCTCTTAGGATGCTTTGGCTACACTATCAAAATCAGCCTTTGCGGTCGAATATCGTTTCTTGTGCGCTTTCGTATAAACACCTTTCCGTTCTAAAGGTTCTCTTCTGGCTTCAGTCGCTTGGAATCTAGTAGACAGCCGATATGTTAGTTTGCTTAGTAAATTGATTCCGTTTCAACATGCAAATGCGAAATTTACAGCAATTCAGAAAGTTGTTAAAAACAAAATTCTTGCAGATGTGGAGAGATATCAAACCATTTCACATGTCGAATATTCAGGATTTTCCGTCATAAACAAATGACCATTACGACACGGCTAGCCTTTTGAAAACTCGCATGTTATTTCCTAAGTTTCGCTTTCAATCTGTAGTAAGTGCGCAGACGATTGATTCGATATTTGAATACATACAAGCTTTGCTATATCGCGGACCACACTGGAGATTATCTGCAATCTGGGTCCTGACATTTTTGCGCCGAAGTCGTTTGAACGCTACAGATCGCCCTAGTTTGACCATCTATGACATGCAGGTGTAAATATCAGATTCGAATGTTGTACGGGCCATTTTTACTTCTTACATCCAATTTTCGATTGTTGCATGACATGATCTCTCGAAAAGTTGACCAAAAAATTTGGGGTCCTGACTTTCCAGCAGCATTTCGTTATCAAAAAGAGTTTCCGCTCAAGCGATGTAATCTCAAAGTTTTCAGGTGCTTACAGAAAGTGTAAAACCTAATAATTATGTATGAAATTTATAATGATAAAATTAAAACTATTTTTATATATTAGATGTATGCTATTTCTTAGACTGATTCTCCTTGAATTAATCCTTTCATTGATGTCAAACGTTTTGCAGTTGTTCTTATCACTACATCTATGAACCGCCAAAGACAACCGAAATTCATTAGCCGACCCCATATTACTTCAACTACATAAGTCTCATCCTCGATGATGAATGACAGAATGATTTATGATTAACATGAATTCTTCTACGTACAAATAGGCAGAAATCATTGTAAAAAGGATGCTTTTCATTTAATACCATGCTTCCACAAAAGCATGTGGCAATCATTTTGAGCTTGAAATATTAGGTTGCCCCAGAAGTAAACTCCATTTTCAAATAAATTAAGCTGTTTACCATTCATTTCCGACAAGGTCAAGCACGCGTTCCAAAAAAATATAACACAGGCTCAGCTGGAGCAAGATGTTGTCCTCGTTAACATCCCGCGAAGCAACATTAAGCGACAGTTAGTGCGTAATCGTTTATACGACACAGCTTGTGTTACGATGAACTGCGTTATTTGTCCTTACGGAAAAACGGGGGACTGTGCTAAGTTTGGCATTGTTTACGAAATTGAATGTCTAGATTGCCACGCAACGTACATAGGGGAGACTGGTCGACAACTCAGCGTACGTGTTAATGAGCACTTGGCCAGTAAAAGGCGGGCAAGCATGGCAAGTCCGCTAGGGAAACATAGAAAAGTAGATCACAACGGTAATGACTACAACATCAGGTGCATTATTCTGGGTTACGAATCGAGAATCGCTGCTCGCAAGGCGCTTGAAGCAGCATACATTCTTTCGCGCGAACCGAAATTAAACGGAAAGAATGAACAACTCTCCATCACCAGTGACTTGATGCCATTTCTATCATACTGTCACTTGTAAATACGGCCACTACTCATGCTGACCATTTTGGTCGGACATAGTTACCATCAGTGGCAGTTGAACATCTACAGTCGCGCTATCGGTGGAAGTTACGGTAGGCTACTTACAGTTTTAGGATCTTAACGCGTTTGCCTGTAAGGCATCGAACTAACTAGTCAAGGGGAGAGATTTGACAGCATAGTGTGAAAAGCAAGTGTAAGACTTTCTTCCAGGTCTCTGAGGAAGGCATAATTGCCGAAACGTTAGACCAAATAAACATCGTAACAAACCTGAGTGGCTTATGACAAAGTATATAAGCTGTTTTTGTTATCTCAACAGATTTAGGATACCTTTCGATAGAGCGGAGCAAGCTCTACAAGTTTTTTCAGCTACCCCAAAAATCGGATTTTTTTCAAGAAAATCCCTACGGACTTCCAACTTAATTAATCTATATATAGTAGACACATAGTAGTTTCCAAAAATGTATTTGGTGGATTTTTTCCGGAGCTCAAAATTGAGAAATAAAGATGGTCCGAAAATGCCAAAATGATGCTTTTCGGGTTTTTCAAGTAAAATTTGGTATTTCTCGACCGTAAAAGCTCATATAGGGGTAAAATGTTGAGATTATAACAAGCAAGGCTTGTAGTATACAATGATAGTGTGGGAGGGGCTGGGGGCAGAGTTTGCCATTTCTGGACCATCTTAAATTTCTCGCTTTGTACGAGCGGAAAAAATCCAGCAAAGGTATATCTGAGTACTATTATGCGCCTACTGTATAATGACCAAGTTGGTGGTCCGTAGGGTTTTTCCTCGCAAAAATCCAATTTTCAGGTGACAAAATTTTTTTTCGATTTTGGCTTCAAACTTTACATAGTATGCGGCTTAGGCGGGCCCTTGGTGGTCTTTTTGTAGAGTTCGATCTGCTCTATTGAATGATAGCCTAAATATACTAGGAAAACGAAAACTTGAATTATTCAAAAAAGGAGTTTACTTTTGGGACAACTTAATAGTATATTTTGTAGCGAATGACTCCACCATTACGTGGCATTACTGGCAACAATATGAGTTGATTTGTAGATTAAGTGCTGCAAAATAGGCCTCCAGATCAAAGTGCAAACGGGGTGTAGGTCGAAACCCGTCCGTCACGTGCGAAGGCGAACTGGTCGCTCCTATCTCCGTGGGCGCGACGACAATCCGCCGCGCTTTCGCAATCAACGGTGACTCATGCCGGACTGCGATCGTTCGCCGGTCTTCGATCAGCTGCGGCTCAACTCAGCTTCTCGTTTCTTCTGGCTAAGGTGTGTTCTGATTGAAATCTCAAGCTGTAAATCCATCGTCGTCCGACAACTCTGTAGTTCGAGCTGAACTCAGTTGTAAAACCACCAAATTGTTTTTCAAATATCCTGCATTTTTAATCATATATTGGTTTCTCAAATATCTTGTATTTTCTATATTGGTGTAGGTTACCTGATTATCCTGTATGTTTTTTATTATATCGCTGGGTTTTCTCATTTTACTTTTCATTTCCCTCAAGAATTCTTATTTTATCTATAAAGCCGAAAATGTTGTCTTTGACGTTAGTAGATCATAAAGAGCATTTTGCTAAGGTTCCGATACTAAACCATCATTATGGTTTGAGTTCGGCACTATCTTACTTCAGCATCTTCTTACTCGAGTAATTTTCTTTCTCCTTTTATCAGCTGAGACAAGACGTTACAATATTTAGCCTTCCTCTTCTTTCGTCCCATTCTCACTTATAAATCACAAAGGTTGATGCAAGTTTAGTAGATAGTCCAATTTTATTTCGACTCAACTTTTTGGTGTATTATACAAATAAATAAACAGTTAAATAAATAAGTTGGCCAATCATTCGCATGTATCTAGAAACCTGGAAAATGGTACCATCTTTGATTTCTAATACGCTGATATTGATTGATTCCTCGTCGTTTACTTCTTCCTTTTCAACTGAAAATCATGACCTGGACTTATCTCACAATACATATGAAATCTGTAGCCATGCTAGTTTCGTGGAATTTTATCCGTTTTAATAGATGGTACCAATCACACACAAAAAAAGAAAGGTTTTCCCTTAAAATTGAAGTCATCAAAGTTCAGAGTGACGCTGCTATTGCCTTAATAAAAGTAAATTCTACCAGAATACTTTCTGTGTTTCAATGAATTGTTATTTCGATTCGATAGAGGTATTTCTTCTGCTCTGATAAATCCTTTAGGATGTGCATGATATAGACGTATTCCATGTAATTCGCGCTATCAGAGGACCGGATAAAATTCTCTCCCCCTGTGTCTGTAAGAGAACCTCTTGTGCATTTCTTCAAACATTTGACGCGTGACCATCTCTTGAGTCAATCCTTTCACATGCTTTTTCGATCATTCCTCTGAAATCCTGTCTGCTGCAAAACGTCGAAATTTTCAAGGGTTTGGATATCCCCTCAGCATTCTACTGTACACAGCTTTATCGCTTTGCGCTATCCCATTCTGCTCATTTCCAACACTAAGAAACAGTGCGGATGGCGGCTGCTTTCCCACGTTCGATATGCACATAAAGTGGTCCTCGGCTCTTTTGCATATCTCGCTCTCGTCCTTTATTGCCATGTGTAAGAACTGTAGTCCTCTGCTTTTGATTTGCACTCATCCCACACTCCGGATTCATCTCGTTTCTCTCGTTTCGCTCGTCCTTTTCCATACATCCTTGTCCATCGCCTCTGTGTGCGACTACGCAACTTCTTCATGGCTGCTTGACTTTTGAGACTTCTATTCGTGACTCCTTTGGCCGTTCATTCCCTCCTTCTACTTCTTGTTCGCATCTCCGCCTGGCTTAGATCCGGTTTTCCTCCACCCGCTCAACTCTACTGCATTCGAATTGTCTGCTGCTCGTTCGCATTTCTTTCCATTGTGTGGTGGGTGCACCTGTTTGTTTTTTGCCTGGTGTGGTGGCCCCTTGTCAGGGAAAGGTTTGAATCTCGACATCCAGAATGGTAAATGTCATTTAATCCACATTGGCTCCGGTACTCATCGAATCGCTTTACTTTACTGTGCAATAACGTTGAAAAGAGCACATTCAAATATTGTTTACCTAACCATATCTTCCAGCTCTGTAGTCAATGTTGCATTCGTTCATAAGTGTCGAATCCCATAACTCTCTTTTTCAAATAAATCTCTGAGCGTAGAGGAGTTAGTGCTAATCCCGTCAATTTGTTAGAAGTTTCAAATTTTCAATCACTCCATGACACTGCTTTTCGAAGCAAAAACTTGTTATTTTGAAGTTGGATTCCTATATATGCTTACACGTTCGAGTCGTAATTTTATAGAATTTACGCAAAATAACGAGCTTCTGCAGACAAGCCATTAATTCTCAGCTTATACTGGCTCTTGAACTTTCATGAAGGATCCCAGTCCATCCAGAGTAGCGGTGAACAAATATTTTTGCGTAGATGAATCAATTTGAGTATGACAGAATTTTTTTGAACGTTGCATAGCAAAAGTGGAGTGTGCCAAAAAGAAAGCTTTTGTGCTCTTTTTTGAGTTTTTTTTCCCAAAAAATATCATATTAAGTATGCGAGATCATAACATATTCAAGGTGTGGTCATGTGCGGAATGTTGGGGAATACATATATAGTTTTTGGTTTTTGCAGGGTTCAGGAAGTTCAGCTCATCTTTTTCTGCAACCGCATCTCTTTCATAGGCAGTGTATACGTTCCACAAAAACGTTGAGGTAGTAATAAAAGTTCATTCTCTAAAGAAGTCGCTTCAAATTAGCCAGAGATACTCTGTGAATGGTACCAAGACACTATTACTGCTCGGCTATCTTCTTTCGTAGCATTCAAAACATTGCCGCGATTCGAAACGACCGTAAATGGTAATTGTGCTTTTCTAACGATCTTCTCGTACACGTTTTTATTATCCTTATTCGTTGTTGAATCGCCCTGAATAGCCGTACACATCATTTAACGTCGCTTTGTGATATTGAGGGAACACTAGTTCAAAATTAGTGTTATGCAGATCCGAAATTTGGTGAATATTATTATGAGAGTAGTTGTCAAAAGGTGCGCAAACGAGGATTCTACATAGGATTTAATGCAACAGTTGCGGCAGGCATTGTCTACTATTTCTGGAACTCGAAAAATAGAGAATTTTATCAATCCAATATGTCAACACAGAAATTAAAATTAATCATTTTTGTACAATTTAACCTTTTTTGTTCTTGGTCAAAGTTGTTGGAACCTGGACGTTTTAGCACATACAGCTATAGAGTTGGAGTGTTCATGTATCAGATTCCATTGAATTTTATGCCGTAAATGCACAGATAGCCAACAACTTTCGACTTTTTCAAACAAAATTGGTTTTTCTCTTTTGTATCCTCTTCTGTCTCTTCATCTGCCATGTGTTTTCTTCAGTATGGTACTCTCCTATGCCTGCAGTCTGATGGCCATAGAGCTTCAAACTAGAGGGTGAAATATCTGCAGATTCAAAATCGAAAACTTCTTTCCATGCATCGTTTAGAAATGGACGAAAATGCCAAAACTAATTGTGGAGTTTTTCAAAGGTCTTTGTAAAAATGCCGATAAGGGGTAAAGGTGTAGCTAAATATCTGCCATCTCAGTGAAAATGGAAAAAAGACAGTTATGTATGTACAACTTGCCATCCGGACCTTTAGTAAGCCAGTCTTTCCTTTGGCTAGTGATGACTCTCAATTTACGGTGACATACATATCTGTGCGCATTTTTATTTTCTCAGCGTATGTCCTTGAATGATAAATAGTTTCTATGCATTTGACGGAAACTTGGCTATCCTTTTTGCCTTCCTCATTCCCTAAAGTGGTACGTGAAAATTTCAGTTTACTTATTTGAAGCGTATCACGACATCATAGTAGAGATGGATAGGAGCTTTGCACTTGATGTAAGCTTCTCGCTAAAGTAAACATACAGTTATCGATCCGTGATGTCATTTCAATGTTTATTCGATTCGCTATCAGCCATTCATTCACTTCCGATAACACAGCAGGAATGCGAGATTGCCCACTTCCATCTTTCTGTGCTTTGGTTCGTTTAATTGATTCCTGTTCGTAAAAATCTACCTAGACTCATTTTGTGAGGCATCTGTTCTTTGAGGCCATACCAGGCTTTTTTTGCAATTTATGTTGTGTTCACAAAGGGCGTCTCGAATTTTCATCGGTCAGGGAGAGAGGGGGAAAAGCGAGGGAGCAGAAGGAGATGATGCCGTTTTTTGAAATATCAAGCTCAAAAGACATTTTATTTGTAAGCATTATTTTTGATACGCTTTTCAAAAGAGACCTTGCTTCTTCAGTAAATCGGAAAAACGGTTTCTATAAAAAACAAACTTTTCTCTGACGTTTGAAATCTCGTTGTTTCAGTTTGCCACATTTCATGTCAATTATATCCATCTTTAACCAAGGGAGCCGATCCTCTTCTCTTTCACACATCGTGAAAGTTACAGTTATGAAGAAACCTAACATCACATCACTCTCTGAGCATCGCACAAACTTCAAGGCACTGTTCATCAATTCTACGGTGAAGAGATTCTACAGCGTGGAATAGCCGGACCCGTAATTGGAGAAGTCTCAGATGCAAAAGGTGAACTCCGAAGCGGTAAAGTTGCTCCAGAAGTTTCCTGCCGCCCTGTTCGTACCGCTCAGTCTATGTCGCCCGTCGGTGGACTAAAGTTAATGAAATTCTAAACTGGGCTTCAGATGGCTAGCAAATTTTTTTGGATTGGAAGTGATTTCCCTCACATCCGTTTACTCTGAGGCTGTTTCAGGCATAACTTTTGGACCACCCATATTAGTGGGCGGGACGGAGAGGCCAAGAGGTAACTTCTGGAGCGAGTTTCTTACTTCGGAATTCATCGCAGTGGGAGCTGGGAAACTACCCAGTTATTGGCCCGCTAATTAATTTAAAATTCTTCTTTGGGTGGATGGCGTTAATGTCACTAATGCTGCACATCTGTCAATCGAACTTCAAGCTCTGTGAAGAGAAGAGGGACTGAAGTTGTTCATTATGTAGTAAAATTTAGTCTTGCAGGTGATGTTTCGACCCTTTTACTGTTATCATTCTTTCTGATAGCACTCTGGCCATTTTTGTTCGGAAAAGTTTTGTGTGAAAAAAGCTGCTGTGATTGTCATCTAGGATAAGTAGCCTCTGCCCTGATTTTGGAAAATCGAACGACGTCACCTCACTGCAGAAGCGGGATCTCGATCGCTCCAGCAAGCCATCTTTTACTTACATTTTCTCTTGTTATGGTAGAAATGTAATGCAGTTTT